CTATAAAAGCCCTTCTGGAAGGCGTTCTATGGGTAGCGAAAGAAGAAGCCCTTCAATTTGTGCCACTCCATACAGGAAGGCCTTTCGGAAAGGCTTTTAACTCCTGAAATTATCTACTGGGTGTATGTAAATGCATATTTTATTGTTGAACAAAAATTTAAAAATTCATTATACATATCCTATCCCAACCCTATCTCACATTTCTATTTCTTCAAACATAGTTTGAAAATTTAGAGAAAAGTAAAGATCTACAGTTGCAAATTTCGTAGAACTGCTGATTTTTATTAAAAACAATATTTTATCTAACGCTGTAATATTTGTTTTCAACTGGACTCGAAATGAAAATGAGTTAAGGCCTTTCTATATTAAGGTAACGATATGTATGTACGGATATAAACTAGTTCGCACGTTTGAAAACAACAACCGCCTAGTGTGAACGGCCTTTCAACTAATCGCCTTCAAAATTGCCTGGGAAATCGCCTCACGGGAACACCGTTTTAGATTCACTCTTTATTGAAATATTCGAGAACGGGTTAAAGCGCAGTTACCCACGGACGTAAAAACGGAGAACGTGTCAGCTGACACGGATCTATCTTATGGGATCCGCGTGTTAACAAAAACTCACCACCGCAACACCGTGACGTAGACGTTGCTTCTCTCACACTTGATATCTTTCTCCGTTCTTCCATGCTACGCTACGTACACGTTCGAGGGTAACCGCGCTCTTATTCGCGCAATGATTTCGGGCTATTGTGTCCGAATGGGTGACCCGACCACACATACTTGTTGTCAATGGTCTAATTTTAAACTCTAATTTTGTAATTTTGGTTCTCTATTTTTAATAAATTCGATCTGAAATATGCACTTTTTTGTGAATTTCGGAGTGAGTTCTGCACAAGAAATGTTGTATACCTTTGGCAATAAAAGAGGGTGCGAAGGCCGCCTACGATAGGGCTGCCAGACGTCCTGGTTTTCCAGGATTTGTCCTGATTTAGACAAATTTCCTGGTGTCCTGGTCCACACTTAAATTTTCCTGGTTTTAGTCAAGGTGAATGCAGACACTCCTCTAAATTTTAGCAGATTTTGTTATGAAAAAAAAAAATGTTAAGCTTTCTGTCAATTTGATAATGAAACGTTTTTTCTAACATGTTGAATATCTGGTGAGCTTACCTTCTTTCCGTTTAGTTTATTTGGTTAAAATCTCAATTTAAAAAAGTGCAAGTTCCTGATCAGGTACAAGGCTGAAGGGTCATACATAAGTAAGTACTACCCAGAAGGTAATTTCAGGAGCTAAAATCTTATCAAAAAGGCCTTTCTTTCCTTTCTCCTTCATTTTTTGTATGGAGTGGCACAAATTGTAGGGCTTCTGCTTTCGCTACTCAAAAAAGAGTTTTTTATTAATTCATAAAAATCATACTTCTTTAAGGAATTTATTTAAGGTTCATATCAAAAAGTTTTATTTAGACTTTAAATGCCTATTTGTAATGCTAAGTAATATAAACATTTATTTAAGTACATTCGGGTAAATTGTAAATAGGAAACACCTTTCCAGGGAGCATGCAGGGAAGCACCTTTTTCAGTCCTTGTAGGGTAAGCCTTTTAGCATAGCTTCACTTAAGACAGTCTACCTAAATTATCTTCAGGTTATGCAAATATAAAATGGCAAAAATGGATCATGAAGCGCGTTGTAGGATATGCGGAAATTTGATGGAGGTGGTACCACAAAAATACATTGCTTATAATATCAGAAACAAAGCAACTGTACTTATAGCGAATATATTGGCACCATATTTACTTATATATTCGTTTTTTATTTGGATGATAAGTGTCCTGGTCGAAGGGTTTAGGACTATGGCAGCCCTAGCCTACGAAGAGATGGCTAGCCAAAAATACTGTGGTCAGCCTAGCAGGAGTTGGACTGATGAGGATTATTTTTCTAAGCGCGGCCGTAGGCCAACAACACCGAAAGGTGTTCTACACAAAAATACTATTTACCGAGTTTATATTACCGATGTCAAAAAGCAAATTTTAGACCATTTTCTAGTGGTTCCCGAGGGGTCTGTGGAAGGTTTCGAGGGGTCAGGAGTGACTTTTTTACCAAGTCTTTCTAGTTGGTTGGATATCGCCCCCTCCTCCTCCGCGGCACTAAAAAAAAGGTAATTATCTAGTTGGGCTTTCAACGACCAAAATTTTTTGTTAATAACTTTTGATCGGGTAAAAAAAGTTAATTTCCGCTTTTGGATTCTTGTTATTGGGGACCAGACGCGTCTAATGGTTTACCAATTTTGGGGGTTGAGAGCCCACCTAGATAATTACGGATGGTAACCCTCACTTCCTTCTCCTTTCTGTATTGCCATAAAAAAAAACCGTATTTCTGCGCAGAACTTCTTTCTGAATAGGGTTGTAAGCCCACCTAGATAATTACCATAAGAAAACAGTGGCCAAATAACTAAAAATTATCAAAAAAAAATTTTTTTTTGACCAAAGACCTATGCAACAAGTGGGCCGAGAAATATAGATAACTGAAAAAATTGTGTTCACTATCTTCTTACCTCTTGAAACTTAGTATTTTCGACTGCTTCACATGCTCAATAAAATATTGGATTTGTTAAATGTTTTATATTTTTACACAAACATAAATTTCGAGATCTTCTACAAAAAGAAAAAAAAACAATGCACAACAGCACAGCGAAAAAGATGACACTAGGGGTGGCAATCTATCGACGGCACTATCGATAGTATCGATGGTGCTGACTAGTACATGACTATCGATACTATCATTATAAAATAAAATATGTCAAACCAAAGAACGTAGATAATTGAGAAATAAGTAAATATGTGAAACCAAAAACTTAGATAATTAGAAATTGTACTGTAAAGTAGACGTTCAGACAATTATATAGACAATACATTTTTCAGCAACTGCCGTTAGTGTCGTTTGGCGTGAATTTCATATAATTAACTAAAATATACAAACACAAATCACTTTTTCATAATTGCGATTGTGCCTTGCCTCTTTTTTCTCAAATTAACCAAGACTTGACCGAATTGTCCAATTTACTGTCTAATTCACTGTCTTCGAAAAATTAAAAAGACAGTGACGAAGACAATCAGGCCGATTCTGAACAGAAACTCCCTGGGAATTTTCTCTCTTTTCCCTTTCCTCCTAGAATAAAAATTCGCTGAGGACTTTTCATATTAAATGGCGGAGTTGAGCTTTCAAAAGCGTGTCAAACAGCTCTCTCGAAGTTCGAATTTCCTCCTCCCAAATTTTCGGGGAAAATGCCTTGGAATTCAGAATTCGGCTGAATGAGAGAAGTAGAGAAGTGTGAATGTATTAGTAGAAAGTGTGAATGTATTGCTATTGTCTTCTCGAAATCGTCCTATGTAAACCCCAAGTTGTGTAAACGCAAACTGTCGATAGCGGCAGAGAGTGACTATCGACACAATCGATAGTGGCAGAAAAACTATCGTCAACAATCGGTGGTTTCCACTATCTATAGTTTGCAACCACAAGATAACAAACCGCTCGCTGCATTTTTGATGTCAGCTGTCAAACTCATATGTTCGCGATTATAGGGTACATGACCCGATGGTGGTACTTCAAGAGCATAATTAAAGGCGAATTTATATAAGGTGGTGGTAAGTCGAAACTAACAAAGTTGCAACTTAAATTTAAGTACCAACTTAAAATTTACATCTATTCATAGTCGCATTTCAGACTTCTACTAAGTAGTTTCGACTTAGTTTACGATATAGCAAAATTTTGGAAAAATTACATTTTTATTAAATAATAGCTGCGTTCGACAAGTCAAAAATTTGTAAAAGTTTTTCCAATTTTTTACTGGATGGCGTTCGATAACGACAAAAAATTATCCAACACACAAAAATTGAGAGAGCAAGCGTTCATTTCGATGCAAGAAAAGCGTTCATTTTGTACTGGCAAAATTTTAGTCAGCAAAAATCATCCAACACGAAAACATATGATCACAAAACATATTGTTGTAATTTTTGTAAACAAACAAAATTGCATTTTTTCGGTTTTTGGTATTTATATGCTTTTTGGCTGCCTGCTATGTGACTAAGATAGTGCCAACTAGTTTTTACTTCTAGAAATATTCCTGGCGAACATTGAACGTTCAATTGCCTTTTTTCTTCCATAGAGGCAACATGAATTTCAGTTTGTTTACAAATAAAACATAAACAAAGTCAGCTGGTGTGTCTTCATCTTCCGGTTTTTGCAAGTGATGGCTAATTTCCTGTTCGTTTTTTGCTTTTCCTTCTCTTTGGGAGAGAATTTTCGCTTACGCTCTTGAGTTTGATTGTTGGCTGGTGTTGGCTAATTTTGTTATCGAACGCAACTAATGTCAAGTTTGATCATCCGTTTATGTAATTTTTATTTTCATTGCATGATTATGCAAAATAATAAGGTATCTTTTCTTGTTAATTGTGTGAAATAGCCAGAACAACCGCAGTGATGTGAAATCGATGTTTATCGAAAGCATGCTGTCAAAGAACGTAAATCTATAAGAGACAACACGTTATAATTGTAACGAGTGGGAACATCAGGAGTGTGCTTTCTCTTTTACCCAAATACGTTTAGTGATTGGATGAAAAGAGAAGGCACGCCCCTGATGTTTACACTCGCTACAATTATAGCGTGTTGTCTCCTCTTATAGACTTACGTTCTTTGGTTTTACCAATGCTGCTACTTGCATATCTTTGTATNTTTTTTTCTTAGTGTGTGATTTCGTTTTTGACTTGGATATGCTCTTAACCATACCACGTATTCTACGTTTAAATATAGCGGCTGTATCTCCGATACAGCCTGCAGACCAAGACGAAGGCGCTGGACTGTTCCTTTTTTTGGGATGCTTTTTGCATTTTACCCAAATAAAGAAATACGTAAGTCGGATCTTGTCTTTAGCCCTCTAGCTTTCGCAACATGGAAATATTGCGTATGGAGTGAAACAAAATGTTGAGAAATATGTAGGTTAAAATGACATTTGTATAACATATATTTTTATTAGTTTTATAAAATAACGCATTCAAATTATTTGCATCAATGCAATTCTTCTTCTATTTCCTCTTCTTTGTCGCGCTCAGTTTCATCGTCTGTAACATTTACTCTTCTTCGGCCCGTATTCCAAATAATCTCAAAATCTAGATTACATTCTTTTGTTATCTTTTGCACCAAAGCTTTATCGACCAGACCAATTGTACTCCAGGCATTTTCCTTCATGGCTAATTCTTTTAAAGAACGGCCAGCTTCGGCCCACTGTTTAGAATAAGCCAAGGCACGAACCAACATGGCTAGAATGTCTGCTTGACGTATCGGTGGTGTTTCCGGTTTGACTAAAAATATATGTAGAGCCATTGATTTAATTTTTAACCCAGTTTAATTCAAAGTATGTATATTAAGTGTTTTCTAAATATATGTATTTTAATTTATGAATAAAAATAAAGACGTCACGTAACTTTGAAGCAACTTGCGTATACATGGGTGTACGTCTTCTAAAGTCATCCCTACAATGAAAAGCTAGCCCAATCAGTAAACATTCTGGTAGATCAATTTGTAGAAACCTTCTAGTTCATTAAATCGAAGGAGCTAATCTGGCGGTCTTTCGGTTAGAAAATTTCAAAATTTTTATTTTGTGCGATTACATCTTTGAAAAGTCAAAGCCAAATCAAAAACGGAACTAATTAATCTTCTCGCAAATATCGGCCGTGGAACCGCGCTACCGCTTCTGAGTCTGAGATCGCAGATTCGAATCCACATGGAGGTGGTTGGCATTTTTTAAAAACTAAATGAATGTAAGTAATAGTGAATTATTTCAACTTAAAAAAATATTAGGAAGAATGCGTACATATTTAAAAAAAAAAATGCTACCTGGCTACGCCCATGCATATCTGTGACGTTTCAAATATGCCACCAAATAAAACAAATGGCAGCATGCGGAATATCTGGCGCAGCTCTTTTGTAATTTACGAAATTTACCGATTTTTTAATTTTAAAAGTTTTCGTTTCTATAAAAAAAATGTTGCCTTGGTTGGTAACATTTTTCGGTAGAAACAAAAACGCCATAAGTTACTTCAAAATGCCAAAATTAAACGGTGAAAATGTTCTTTTTGTTGCTAAAACGAACCACTCTAGAGTAATAAACCTAGCGCGCCACCAAAGATGACGATTTGCGAAACAAGAATTCCATTTTACAATTTTTATTGGCACACTCGAAATTCATTCTAAAATTGTTATATACATGACCGTTTTAACATACATACATACACCCCGCTTCACTTTAATAGGTACATATTTTTCCCTCAGATCTGAGCTTGTACCTGGATTTTTGGGCATCGGAGAAGTTTCTTTTTGATCTCATATTGAAGAATGATCAATTTCAATGAAAAGTGGTGAAAATGGAGAGAAGACACCTTATTACTATGGATTTTATTCCACGTTTTTTCATACTACAAGAAAACTATGCCTATTAATTTGATTCACTTAAATAATAGGCACGGTGGCTTTAACACAACATTCCTAAAAATACAATCCCTGCACCTTTCTCTGATGGTCACTTATAGTTATTTATTGAACAGCAAAAATTGATTTTGGATTTTATTTTGTTTTCAATAGTACAATTTTCGAGTATTTTTTATTGTTTAATAAATGATTATAAGTGACAAGTCAAAGTGCAGGGATGGTATTTGCAGTGATACTAGTGGAGAGTTCTGGCTTTAACTTAAGCGCAAGTAGAAGGTTCTATCACCTTTTGCTTCTTTGCTAGAGCTTCTCAAATATTGCAAAAAACGCGATTTTTTTAACACTTTTACTTTAGTCATAAATGACTATAAGTGACTATTAGGGCAAGGTGCAGGGATGGTATTTTCAATGGTAGTAATCGAGAGTTCTAGCTTTAAGTTAAGCCTAAGCCGAAGATTCTGTCACGTCTTGTTTATTTGCTGGGGCTTCTCAAATATTGCAAAAAACTCTATTTTTTGACAATTTGACCTCGTTTTTCTCAAAATCTGGAGTTGATGGAAACTTTATAATTTCGGATTTTTAATCAGTACCAAAAGGTCTATCAAAAAGAGCTTTAACATTTGTCGCATCAAATTCAGTATTGCCCTGTGTTGTTAAATCCGTTGTAGCCATCAAAATTAAACTTGTTATTTCCGTCTGGCATTTGTGTTCTGGCCCCATTTCATGCTTTCATGCGATGCTGTGAGGCGGCTTCAGCTGTCAAAAACATTTGCATTTCCTTCAGTTTTATTTCCAACCCAACAGATCGCCTGCGAAGTCCCGGATTTATGCACTTTTTGCAGTTGAAAGTGAGCCTGCTGCGCCCATTCTTGCTCTGTTATAGTTCTAAGTATCCTTTAAATTATAAAATAATAAGATGTAATGTACATCATACTCCTCCCCGTCGGAAACACCAACAACGAAGTTTGATAAAAAGTGGAACAACGTTTAGTTTGATAAAAAGTGGAATAGAATCCAAAGTAATCAAGATGTTTTCTTAATTTTTACCACTTTTCTTCGGAATTAATTATTCTTCAAAATGAGATCAAAAAGAAACTGATCTAATGCTCACAAGTCCAGATATAAGCTTGGATCAAGAGGAAAATATATGTACCTATTCAATTGTAGCGGGGTGTATATATTCGGGAAGAATGCTGTAGGAAATACATAATGTGCAAAATTGAATTACTTTTAATTAATATGACTTTTAAGTTAAGCCGAAACGTTTTAGCTGGCAGTGAATCGTGTTACGGGGCGTATACGTTACATACTTTTTTAGTACACATTTTTTAAGTTTTCATTTAAATACAATTTCGCAACGAAATCTTGTTCTTTACACAAAACTGAAGAAAATACACTGTCTAAAGTAAGTGTGCCACCATTTTCGTCCAAAAACACGTTTTTGTCGACAAATTTAACAACTCGTGAGATTTGCTCATATACGTAGTAATTTTCCCTGCAGGGATGTCTAGGGAATTAATTTTATAGTCTCCTAATTTTTTAAATCTCAATTAAAATGCGAATAACAACTTACTTAACATAGTTCTACAGCCTGAGATGACTGCCTGATGATCACCATTTTTCAATGCATTTTGAATATCTAAGATTTTTTTCACGTCCCCTATAGTCCTCTCCAAATTATTAAGAGCATGTTGGGAATGTCCAAGTTTCTTCAAGCAATTAGCAGCTTCATGCATTGCCTTCAAAGCTTTCTCGTAATCGTGATATTCATCGATTTCAATCTGAGCGCAAATGGCATAAAAGTTTGCTAAAGAATCGTATGCTTGACCCTTCGAATAGAACGTTACAATATGCTTAAGTATATGCTGATCCTCTTGCCAATTTAACGCCTGCAAATAGTTCGCTGCCATGATATATACTTCCCGTTGACGTGACATATTCGCAAAAAATATTATTTTTTCAGTGCTGCCCGATTTAAGTAAACTCTTCATAGCGCGCACCTTGTCGCCGGCCTGTGTGAATTTCTTTGTAGCCGTATGATAGTCACCTTGTTGCTGGAGTAAGTCTCCCAGCTGTGTTAGAATTTCAATTCGAGTCACCTCATCCAGCTCATTTTTGCTGGGCGTCAACATCTCACAAAGTTCTTCGGTGATCGGTATGCCCTTCTCCATACAGATCTGTAAAGATCGTTTCAGATGCTTCGTCTTTGCCAATAGATAGACAGCTTTCTGATGTTGTTCAATATTTGTAAAGAAGTCTGCACAACGATTTATCAACTCCGAGTCAGAGTTAAAAGTTAACTCTGAAGCGATTATTTCTAGTACCTCGGGCTGCTCCGATTCAAATGCCATTTCTAATGCCTTATGGAGCATGCCAGCACGATGATATAGCTCCACTGCACGCTTGAATGAGCCACATTCTTCGAAATATGCCGCAGCAATGGCCTTATCGCGACTGCGTGAAGAACTAGCAACCGTCCAGAGTTCATCCTGAAAATCGTTTTCCTTACAAATTCGAATGGCGTTGCTAAATGTTTGGGCGCGTGTATAGAACATAATGGCTTCCTGAAACTTGCCAACGTTTTCATAATGTCGTGCTAAATGGTAACAGGCAGCACGATCTCCTGATTGCCTTGCTATGGCATCTGCTTTCGAAATTTTTCCCAAATAACAAAGAATTTTTACCTAGAATGCGAAATTCGTTGTGTACTTGTATGTGTATGAGTGGTATACAATGTATTGTTAAGCAATTTTACTTGTGAAAACCAATCCTCGGCCTTTTGATATACAGCCAATGCGGCATCCATATCACCTGAGCTTTCAATATACTGACCCCACCATTTTAGCATTTTTGGATCGGTAGAATTTTGCATGTAACGCTGGAAATGTAATGTATGTACTTAGATTTAGTTTAATTATTAAGTGTTCTTATCAGGGATTTTCACTGGGCATTAAATGACAAAAAAAAAATTTACTTTCTCGTTTAAACGAAAATATTCATTGGGTTCATATTTGTCATTTCAATGCCTAGAGGAAATTCGACATTACTTTCATTGCTAAGGGATTATCCAAAAGCATTTGTGTTATATTCTGTACAGGGTTTTGAGACTTTTCAAAATATTCCAGTGCTCCTTTTACATCGCCCCGCTCTTTCAGCTGTTGTGCCTTGTGAAAATATGTATTTTTCAAATGAACACGATCTTCTGTCTCAGCGATGGTTATAGCCTCAATGTTTGAAAAATACAAAAAAAAAGAGAATACCAATTGGTTTACTGCAGCGCTTATGAAGATAAGTTATCTACCTCGTCAATTTTTCCACGCGCCTGAAGCAATTTGTTTAATAAATCGTGCCTACCACATTTTTTGTACAATTCAATTGCTTTATCATACATGCCCAGTTCGGTGGCGAGCACTGCAAGCTTTGCCTCTTCTTCAAGATCATCGTTTACCATCGCTTGCCGTAGAGCACGTACTGACCGTGCTTTGTCTAAATGACCCATACACACTTTAGCCACATCTAGGCGACCAGTTTGAACACACATCTTGGCTAAGTTTGTCCAAATCGTTTGTGATTGAATGGAACGTATGCAACGATAGGCTAAGTCCATGTTACCCTCGGCAATGTGGAGACTAAAATTTAAAACCATCTTACGCGTATTTTCATCGCATTTCTTGAGATCGACAAAATCTCGCAGCGGACGCTCTTTTACGATACTTGTATCTAAGGTTATCTACAAAGTCGTACAAGTGAGTAAAGGATAAAGATTGTCTATGGGCTAATAATAATTTCATCTTTGCTTTCTTACTTACCACATTCGGTACGCATAGGTTGATCACTTGCTCACCTAAGCCCAGTAAACGTCTTTCTAGCACATTTAATTTGTTTTTATCCGAAAAAAACAAAACTAAAACTTCAGATTCGATACTGTTACTGCTAGTCGTCGGTGTTTTCCCGGACTTGGGCGTTTGCCTTCCCTCTTGTGTTTGTTGCATTGACTTGACCTCAATAGCTAGCAGGCGTGGCTCATCTGTGTCCCAATATATACTCACGGGCATGCTAAAATATTTACATAGTTTGTTTAAATTCTCATTAAAAAAAAAAATAAATAAATACTTAGGAAATACTTCAAACATCTTACCATGATTTGATGTTGCTTTCCTCCGCACCATTTACCAGCTTGTGTTCCATCAATTGATTGCGTTCGAAATTCCAGCAGTATAAGACCGGCTTTGGGGCAAAACTGCGATTGGCGATAACAACCGCTAAATGAGTGCCAGCGGTGTTGCATTTTACTAAAATTACTTCACCGAAATCATCAAACAAATCGTAACCGGATTTACTAGGGAACATAGGCTTGGGGTCGTGGCGAGATACATCATAAGTTTTAATAAACCCATTCATAGTGAACACACTTAAATAGGTCCCAGTGATGTCCATGCCAATAATTTTTCCTAAGATAGGTACAGCAATTATAAATATGTACATTTGTATATATCAATTGAATATTTAGTCTGTTCCAGGTGCTTAACGATTTGCAGGTTTTACAGGAAGCTGTTTCTCCGGTCGCCATCTCCCATGAGGTTTATTAATGGCAAAAACAGCTTTTCCTGTAAATCCTATAAAACAATTGAACCAAGTTTGTTAGAAATCGGTGAAGTGGTTACCGAGATACACGTTTGTAGTAATAAAGTGGGCGGTGCCACGCCCAATTCCTAAACGTCTCTAGCAGTCTTGTTTATTGTTAATAGATTTCTATTACTTGGAGTAAATAAGCGTCCTCAGTTATTGAAGTATCGGAGTTTTCGTATTTCTAAAATTTACCGTAACACAGGAAACGTCTGTAATTTTAGTCCGAATAACTTTCAATGCATTGCTTTTCCGTACAAGGTTATAAAGTGCACCGAGTTTGGCAGAAATTTATAAATCGCTTACCGAGATGCACATTTGTGGACGCCCATTGTACAAAAAATTATAATAGTCTAATTTAATGCTAATTTAATGCTAATTTATTGCATTTATCGCAGTTTTCGTGTTTCTGTAAATTACCCTTATAAGGGAGGTGGACGTGGTTATTGCCCGATTTCAAAGATTTTCAACAGACTTTTTAGCTGGACCCTAAGCAAGGCGCGTACCGAGTTTGGTAAGGATTGTTGAAGGGGATGCTGATATACATCATTTCAACATAAGGGGGCGGGGTCCTGCCCATTTTCCAAAACTTTCATAATAATAGTATTTTGTATCAAAATTCTTCTTCACATACTAATTTTCAACAATTTTGATCTAATATTTACTGAAATATCGTAGTTTTTGCATTTTTAGAAGATATCGTTATATGTGAAGTGGGCGTGGTCATAGTCCGATTTCGCCCATTTTTAATACCAACCTACCTTGGATAAAGGGCAACCTTCATACCAAATTTCGTTAAGATATCTCAATTTTTGCTCCAGTTATCGTGTACACCGACGGACGGACGGACGGTCAGACAGACATGGCTTAATCGATTTAATTTCTCATTCTGAGCATTTATATATACATTTGTCTATATCTATCTCGATTCGTTTTGGCTGTTACAAACAACCGTTATGTGAAAAAAGTTTCTATACCCTTGTGCACAAGTGCGATCGGGTATAAAAAGATGGGTTAGGCCACTTCTGCTCTCACGGCCTCATACATATGTATATGCAAATGATTCATATTTTCGGAAATGTAATTACAAAAAGTAGCAGTCAAATGGAAAACGAAAATGGATTCTCTTTGTGAAAATTAGAACAAAAAAGAAAATACTAAGTATGTCGAAAACGGGAACAGGCCTGCTGCCTGCAGCAGAACGCTTGCTTGTGAGCACTCATTGGGCATTGTTGCTACATACTTATATGTATCTAGGAATAAAAGAGACTGCTACGTTTGCTTAAATGCGTCGATGAAGACGGCATGCTGTATGTAATCCATCATTTACCTTCGTTGTCATTTGCCAAGATTTTATTAAGCACCACTCCTCCAATAGAGTATATCATCACCTCATTCGAATTCAAGCAAAATATGCTCTGATTTTGTAAGTGCAAGCCCAAACATTCGGCATTAAAGGTTTGTATTAGTTTAACATTAAGATTTCGGTCTTTATCGTTATTTTCGGCAGATGCGCTCTCATCCGCATATTCATCTATTCTGTAATCATGGACCTTTTGGATTTTCTCTATACTATAAGTGGATATAGCACGACCATTACTAATAATTAAATTCAGTTGATTGAGCGCTAAAGCAGTAATTGCGAATTCGGCTTGTATAAACGAGTGTCTGCCAATCGCATGTTCCAAATAAATGGTCTTTGCACTCCGTTGCACAGCCCACAGATCACGTGTGTGAAGGGATAGGAGTGGTTGCTCCTGTCAAATACGATATTTGAAAATTACTAGCACACAGTTTCATAGGGATAATTTCTACCTTTAGCACGTAAACATTCGAGATACAATTAATCAGCATACAAGGCTTAGCTAGCTCATTAAAGCCCCAAATACATTGCTTAACGGCGCCACGTACTGTCGAAATATTTGTCAATTGCCAATAATCCTCGGGCATTTCGAGCTGTCCCACACGACGCTTCCAGGTATAGACATTACCTTGATTCGTGCCAGCACAAAGCGTTTGACTGCCTGTACTGTAGGCAAGACAAGTGAAGAGCTCGTTTGTTGGCTGCATGAACTTCTGTAATTTACGGCTATTCAGCGTAGAGGACTTTTCGTTGCTGTCGTTGCTTAAAAAATTTGTGCTAGCCGAATTGACGTCGAGGCTGCTTGAAGTAGCCAACACGGAGACGGCTGTGTTTAAAAAGAGGTAAAACATTTAAAAAAAAACGAAAGACACAAATACTCACCAGTACTAGGGAGGTCCATTTTTAACAAGTAGTTATCACTTTTTTCAATATCCCATACGCGCACGCTTAAGTCTCCTAAAGCACAATGACAAATTAACTTGATCGAGTTAAAAAGAGTTGAGTTGGTATTCACCCGTTATAATCGCCAAACTATTGCCAGCCCACGAAATGACACCTCCCTTGCCGGATAAGTTGCCACTTAGCTTAACCCGATCTAATTCTGTTAATATACCGGTCGACTCCACCAAATACAAAGCGATGGTCATATCCTCCATTAGGCAAATAACCGCGTCTCTAAAACAAGCGAAATGAAATGTAATGAAGACCGACACAAAACAGCGACACTCCTATCGCCAGTGTCGGCTAGTGTTATATAAACGACTATTATTCGATTGCCGATTTTCCATGGTATTGTGAATGACGATGTCTCGTTCAATAAGCGACTAAAAATTACTCACACACTCACTCTCTGAACGAGAGAATTATATTCAAAATACCATGGATAATCCATAATGGACTAATAGTCGTTCAGCTACTATTGGTCGACACTCGCAATAGCAATAGGGGTGTGAGCCTTACTTCTTCGGATGCCACAGCATTTGCATAACGGGTACAGAATTATTCTTGAGCACTTCCGTGCAGGTGCCACTCTGGTTTATATAGTACATAAGTCCATTTTGCGTACCCACATAAAAGCAATGATTATCTTTCACCCCAGCGTGGGTCATGCTTCTTGCTGCTGTACGCGGCCTCCAATTGGTGAGCGTATCCAAGGCATCATCATCGCCTGCCACAGCCGCCTTGGCTAAGTTTACCATTTCCTCACGTAGTTCACTCTCGATGGTGCGCCGAAATGTGATATGCAGCAACAAATCGCGCAGATCATGCGAAAACATGGTTAAGAATTGATATTGGCCATCGCAACGCCAGCCGGTAAGTAAACCCATTGAATCAGCGGTTACCATGCGACCACCTTGTTCGCTAAAATCCAACAATACAATCGCTGCTTTATGTGGACCGTGGACGCTAGCAAATTCACGATGGCCGGCAAACCAAACATGTATGTCACCATTTTCCCAGCCTGTTGCCAGCAAAACTTTTTCCGGATGCCAAGCAAGCGCTGACACTTGGGAAGTGGGATGCACGGGATAGGTGACATCACGCTGTGGCTCACCCTATGTACATATATAATTAATAATAAATTACATGGTTCATTATCCTAAAGCCCGCCTTCCGACATAAGCTATTATTCCAAACGAACACAGATATGTATACATACCGAATCAGTAAAAATGGTTATTGATCCACCGCGTTCTTGGCTGTACGAAGCAACAGCAAATAGAGGTTCGCTGAGGTGCCAGTTTCCAATGGTACTTACGGCATCGGAGTCTAGAAATTCAACTTTTGTGTCGAAGTAAAGTGTCATTTCGAATACTTACCAGTAAACGTTTTTCCTTCGATTGGAAGTTGGGTATTGATAAAGCACAACTAGTCTGGCCCTACACGGTGTGGTCGGACCAAACAAATTTGGTTGCCATGACATTTTTGCATGTAAGGAGGTGGTAATGTCGACGCAAGCTTTGCAACATTTGTCTGTTTTGTCCTTTGTTGTTGTTTGTTTTTCAAGTTAAGCTATTTCAACGACTTTTAACGGTCACCGCAAGACTTTTATGTAAGAATCTTTGAATTTACAGGCACAAAAATTTACCGAAATATGCAGAAATGAAAATGAAGGGCCTCGATGTTATCACACAAAGGGCAAGGACCTACAGATTTACGCCGACTCCGAACGGCACACACAGGTCGGATTCACTCAACTAGCGGGACAAAGTGTAAAAATTAAAGTTATGCGAATTGCGTCAAAATGGCATGGCTTACTTCTTAATACAATTGATAACTGTGATTCATTCTTTGTTCTTGATCTCTTTTAGTAATAAAAAATAGCAGGAAAACGGTTTTTTTGTGCGATTTCGATCAGCTATTAAAAGTGTAACTTGGCCTTGGGTGCGTCTATTGCAAAATTTTTTTTTCATGAAGAGAAGTGATTACCGGTAATAGAAAATTTATTTCATAAGTTTTTTTGTTATTTTTTGGCCTTATAACAATTATATTCAACAATTTATATTGAGCTCGAGGCCTACTGAAAGAAGTCTGATGAGGAAATGTGGTGATTTCCGAAATAGCTATCACTTCTACCATTTTTTCAAATTATTGTTGCTTTTCCACAATAAATTTTCATTTAAATTTAAATTCTTAAATTTAGCAAATAAGTTCTATAGCTTGAAATTATTTTAATTGCATTATAGAAAAAAAAACTTAATAGTTTCGCTGAGTTCCGACTTGGAATTTATAAAAACTAATTCTGTGAAGTGTTGGCTTTAAGGTAAAATACACAGTTTTTGCGTGCATTTACGACATCCATACAATTGTTTTAAATTTTCAAAATGGTCTCCCAAATATCGCGGCAACAGCCCCTAGAAGCTGCGAGTAATAAGTTTCGAGCGAATTCAAATTTTTTTTTTTTGTTTTTTGCCCGCCATATTGGAACCCTATTTGGAATTTTAAAAATTCGTGGACAGACTCATAATTATCGACCCAAAAACACGATAGTAACATGCTTCGAGCGCAGTCAATCAATTTTGAAAAATTTGTCCACCAGATTGGATCCGCCATATTAGATTTTTGAAATCTGACTGAAGATTTGTAATCAGTGTGCCCATAAACTAGTGGATACGAAGTGGTGTACAAATCCATCAACGCGAACCTGTTCAAACAGTTTTGTCCCGCTAGATTCACTCTTCAGACCACTGTGCGGCCATTGTATTTTTTTATGAGAAGCAATTTTTCATGTCTGAATACACTCGGAGGTTTGCCATTGCCTGCCGAGGGGCGACCACTACACTCAGAAAAAAACATTTCCTTTAAACAAGAAAACAGTATCCTTATTTTAGAGTTACTGTTTTTTCCTTAATATTACGAACAATTTACTCAATTTGACAAGTATTTCCTTAATTCAGGTTCATGCAAATTCCACAAATTTTTATCTAAATTTCGATCTTTTTAGCCAGAATTTACTGACGGCTTTTACGGTTTTTTTCATATACATAAATAGCGAAATTTAGGTAAACTGGCGTTGACTTTTGTAATTTTTTCTATAAGAAATTCATGTTTACATGGAAAAAAGTGCAAAACGCTGACAACAAAAAAAAAAAAAAATATTAAAAATCAATGCGATTTTCAGCCGCTCAAAACTTGCGCTTATTTTACTAGAATTTTATTATAAGCTTTTATTTACCTTGGTCATCCCGCGCAAATCGCGGAAATTTCCAATCGATTTTAAACTAACTTCCCGACAAGTTAGAGACTTGAAATTTTCAGCATACCTCCAATCACGATGACGATGCAATTTAAAATATAAATGAATTCCCTATATGGTCCAGAGGTCTTGATTGAAAGGCGGTCAAACATAGTAAGATTTATAACTAACAGAGCGTAATTTGCCAAGGAACGTAAAACCACTATAAAATTGTTAAAGCTGCCGGCGGTAGTGGAGAAAAGCTATTTGTGGCAAAATCTAGATATCAACCTAGTCTAGATATGAACCTCGTTGTAGGCATCATATCAAGGAGATACAATTAGAAGACTCCAGATGTCGCCCCGCCAGAAGAAGTTAAATATTGCGCCTAAATATATGCCATTTACATACGCTACAGCGGAAATGGACGATACGCCATTTCTTTAAATGAAATTAACTGCTGCTATATGTACATATGTATGTATGTTTATACAAAACGTATGCAAACAACATTTTTGTGTAACAAAAGATTTTTTAGCAAGAAAATTTTGTCAAAACTGCACTAAAATTAATAAAATAAAATAAATTCAGCGTACATGCATAATTGGTTAGGTATGTATATGTATGTATGTATACAGATATTTAAATGCCGGTTTGCTTTTGGTCAAAAACTACTTTTGCTCGATTTTCGGATATGTTGCAGAGGAGGTCCTAAAGTATTTGTAAACGCAAAAAAACAACAACAATTTTTTTTTAAGTTATACAACAACCAAACTATTAGGTGTCTCGCCGTAAGCCATTGTTTACCACATCATAACTCGATAAATATTGGTTGTATCAAAAAAATCAATTAGTACTTTTTTATTGACAAAAAGTCAGAGACTTATAAAAAAAAATATGAATTTTTTTAAATTTGATTAAAATATGTCAAGTGGGCTACTTACAAACCTTTTCTTTCGGAAAAAAAGTTGAGTGCCTAAATGTTGGCTGCAACCAACTTTGTTGAAAGCGATTAGTTGAAACGCCGTTCAACCAAAAGTTGAATGCAAAGTTGAACACCTTTTTATGGCGAATATTTTGATATTTTTTCATATTTTGATATTTTTAGCCATTCAACTTTTTTTTCATGCAACCCTGCGCTGAGTTGAACGCAAATGTTGAACGCAAATGTTGAACAATGCAAACACACTTTATGCTTTATTTTGCAACCCTACTTTAGTTTTACTTTGTGCGAAAAATTGCGAATTTAATATTAACATAATCATTTATTTGATCGGTCATATCTCCTGATTACATAAGTTATCTCTGCACGATCAGGAGAAATCAGAGAAACGATTATGTTAATATTAAATTCGCGATTTTTTGCAAAGTAAGAGGATTATTGCAAAATAAAGTACAGCGTCGACTGGGTAAAAGATTATCGTTCACAAAATTCTTAATTATTTAATTTTTAATGTTTATTGTTAGTTAGCTTTGAGTTTATGAAGGATTTTCTTTAGTAAAATTTTGTTGTAAGCGTCATTTGTCCACAATTTGGCGGCCACTTGGCATGAAATACGACAAAATGTGATCAAAATTTCTACCAAATTAACGGCACTTTTTACTCAATATCTCGGAAACTAAAGGAGGTATCCAAAAATGGAGAACGCCATTTTTAAGATATTGATTAGTTTAATATGACTGCATCACTACCTAAATTTTTACGAAAAAATTGTAGCTAATATCTAAAAGCTGATATCACCATGAGCAATAGTTTTGAAGATATGCAAATAAAATTACATACATACGTATATGTACATATGTACGTATGTATGTGCATATGCATTTCGAATTCGCCCCCTAGAAAGTACGCCTTATAATTTAAGTTTCGCATGAAAATACTTATTGCCGTTTTAACTGATTTTCGCATGTGTCGCTACTATATTTATACAAATGAGTATGGCGATACTCATGTATGTACATGGCGCATGGATACATCCATACATACATAAGTGATCCATATGCATACTCACGTTTACGTTCCTGGAATAGAATTGCTTTGTTGTATGTAAAAATGAACACATAACAAAAGCGATACCCATTTACAGTAAGAGAAAAATATATGATGATTTCAAACAGCCTATTTGACATTTCTAAGTTAACAAAACGAAATTTTTTAGCATAAAAATAGCCTTAATTACAAGCTTTTATTAAGTTTCACCGTGTGTGTGTGTGTAACCGATTCTTGCAATACATTTTTATATTTAAAATGTAGTCTTGATCTTGTTTCACTAGAATTAAAAAAAACCGATCTATCTACGTACTGAAAATGCTTCCAAAAACTCAGATTAAAAAGGTCGTTGAAAATTCGTTGAATTCTTCGTTGAGTTCTGTATAAAGTTTGAAAGTTTGACTTGTATGGTTTTGATTAAAGCATGCACCATTTTCTTTATAAAAAAAAATAACAAAAAAATTTTAACTTGAAAAACATTGCAAATAATAAACGAAAAACACCATGCACTCACTTTTGATTGCCAGTGTACATACATACATACATATGTATTTAAAAGTACATAAACAAAACACTGCTTGGAGCCAAGTAATAAAACCATATTTTAGTTTCAAACAAAGTTGTGATTTTGTTTTTTCTCAGTGTACTTATTATCAACAACATCATTTATCAAGGCTGCTATCTTTTTAAGCCTTAACTATAAGACTATGAGCAAACATTATTTAATGTGCAATAAATTCCTATTTATATATGTATGGACGTACATATGTATGTATGTATGCACGAGTATACACATACATATTAGCGTGGGCCGAAAATCCGCTTTTTACAAGCTTTTATTTAGAATTTTGATTGGTAATAGCAAAAATATGGTTCATTATGCTCTAAAAAAATCTGTGCGCAAAATTAAAATTTTTGGTCAATATCTTAGGCTCGCCCAAGTCCATCAAAGTTCAAGTGGTAAAAAAAAAATTCTTAGCTTATTTCGATTCTCTACAAAAATGGTCCATATACCAAATTAGGTAGGACTAATACTTTCGAGATAATTGCAGTTTTAGTTAAAAAAAAAGTGTTAATTAATTTATTTATTAATTTTTTTGTTTACCAATTGAACTTTGGAAGGCGTTAAGAGTGTTCGCTATGCAAAGAACTTGCACAAGCTGGTAAAAGCGAAAACTTTTACTGTATATTTTAGTTGCGTTCGCCAAATGCATTCGCTTCGCAAGTGATAATACCACCCTAATTTTTCGACGAGATTATTTTTCAATTACAGCAATTACAGAATTAAGTAATCACACGTGAAATCGTGTTTTGTTGATATATATAGTTTAACGTTCCAAAAAATTCATTTATTTTGGGCCACCTATTTTAGTTCGCTTTGCTTTTATTAAAGCGACACTAAAATAATGTTTCAGGAAAAAAGAGAAGGACAAAGTCATCGAAATGACTCAAATTTTAAATTTAAGAAAGACTATCCCTCAATTTTAGTTTTGAATCGTCTGCAACTCATAAAAATCTCATCTCATTTTTTTATCTTAAAAAAAGTGTAATGCAAAACACCTCCTAAAATTAACAATAAAATGACTAATATTTAAAATAGCTCGAATTTTCCAAACAAAAAAGAGTATCTGGCTTTATTATCACATATCTAGTATGTATGTACATATACACCACCCATGTTTGCGTTTTTTTTTAATTTTATTATACTTAAGTTTATGCCTGCATATCTGCTTTCAACACCGTCACATGATAACACACCAGCTATCCAGATAAAAGGTGCGCACCCAAATTAGTATTAGGAATGCAAATGCGCCTGAAAATTGGAAATAATTATGACCAGGGTGATTCGCCTAAACCTTTGTGATGTTCCGAGTAAATAGCGAGGCCTAATGCTTTGATATGGGACAATTAGGCGGCTAATATCAAAAGACATGCATAGTATCAGATTTAAAGAATAATGAATACATACTGGCATGCATATAGTACACAAAGAACTAATCAGAAATGACTAGACATTTATTGCAGGCGCGACTTTGATGAAGTAGGTACCTACACATATCTGAAAATTTTTGTTTGATATCACCGATGTTGATAATGTATAATTAAGGTGTGATTTAAACAAATTTGTGATACAAAATGGCACAAAGAAACCTATGAAGCGAAAAATATAAAAAATTTCCACAGACTAATTAACTCGTTTTTAGCTAGTTTTATATACATGGATGGATGTACCACATATTTATACCATGCTCAATGTTTTATTTTGAATAGAATTTATAATAACTCGAAAAATTTTCCAAGAATTGGCCATCAAAATTTTAAACCTTATAATCGGAATTTCTAAAAAAAAATATCGGGAATATAGTTTTATAGCCCATTCAATTTTGGTATAATATTGTGAAAGTTTTTTTGCTAATGATTTTACGCATATTCTTCCATACAAAGTATGTACACTAGGCGACAATTGAAAGTGTACACCTTGTTCTAATATAATATTCCGAATTATTTTCATGATAAATTTTTTGCAATAATTATTTGTGAATATACAGTTCATTATATAATATAAATCTTATCAATCAAAGTTTTACATTTTATATAGAGTTCACTAAAATTAAAAAAATGTTCATCCAAATTTTAAATTTTTTATTCATAATTTCTAAAAAATTTTCGAGTATGCAGTTCTGTTACAAAAAAAAAAATCCAAGTTACCGATGAGGAAAATCGATGGATAAATACGAAATAATGAGTGGTCAAATGAAAATGCGGAAAGACTTTTTGTATGAAATATGAGCAGAAAAGCGTGTAACTTAGGTGTACGCGGCGTATTAGTAACATTCTTTCGTGCTAAATTTTCATAGAAATAATCTTGCGCATTTTTGTATTTGGCCACTCATTATTTCGTATTTATCCATCGATTTTCTGCATCAGTAACTTGATTTTTTTTTTGTAACAGAACAGGCTTTAGTACAAATGCAAAAGTTTGGCACAGAACCTACTATTTTTTAAATTTTTCTTCTGTTAAAGTTTGATTTTTTTCATATTTTCATTAAAAATTAAAAAAAAAAAGCTGGAATGATTAATTCATTTGTCAGAAACTATAAGCCCTATCGGAACGTGATGTATATACGGTTTATGGAGAATTTCATTGGCTTTCATTTGCTGTATTTTATATTAAGATTTTTAAATTGGTTCGTAAGATATACGTGATTAAAAGGAACCAATTTTTGCTTTGAGCTGAATAACGGTAAATTGAAAATATCTCGAAAAAGTATCCATAGAAAAAAAAATAACTCGATTTTCGGAAACACCGAGCACTTCTACATATGTAGGTATTGGAAAGTGGCATCCACAGAGCATTTTTGCTGTAAGCCAGTGAAATTAATGCAAAAAAATTTTCATGAAAATATTACACTTTCAATTGTCGCCTAGTGTATATATGTTAGAATTTTTTTATATTGAAGAAAATAAGCAATAACGATAATAATTTGAGCTAATTTGAACTTGCACTATATTATACTAAAATTTAATGGGCTATACAACTGGGAGGTTCCATGCTTTATCTATATTATGAGTTATTATTAAGCAGTATTGGTCTTGTCCCAAAAAGGTAAAAGTTGTTATATTTAATTACAGAAGTTGAAGTTTCGGGTTTGTTACATAATGTTAGAACTTCATTGTCAATGTTTACCACAATTGCATTTTCGTTTCCACATAGTTAGATAAGAATAATTCAACAGTCAAGCATGTCCCACCAGTGACAGCTACGGTTGGTTTTTTGGAAAAAATAAATACTTTGAGTTTTATACGCAAATGAACTTAAAAATGTGTCCGCGAGACACTTGTGGGCTTTTAAGGGTTAAAAGATTTCGCGTTATTTTGGCATTACTGGATTTTCGGTACTTCCTTTGGACTTGGCTATTTTCTTTTTATTGAATATAAACGGGGAAAAAATAAAACAAGTACCTTTATCCTTTTCGAAACGATGCATTTTTAATTTCTCTATCCTCCGGTATCAAAATATGATTTTTTATAAACAGTGGACATAACAACTTTTCACTCTAAGATAGCGATTTGTGTTTCTTTTTTACATTAGACATTTTTTATTAATAATTTTTACAAAAAAACAGGTTTGAGCTGTAATATCTATTTGATCGTTTAATATTTTAATTTTTCCTTATTAAGCACAATGTCTGAAACTCCCGACATCGTTGAAACATTTTGAGGCAACATGTGTGAAAATATATAAAAGTACATACTATATACATTCATACATACAAATAAGCACATATATTTTATGGTTGCGTATTGTTACAGGCCACAGCCAAAGCTTAACATTTAAGATTAAATTAATTATCGTTTTGTTGTTGTTGTTGTTGTTTATTTCTATGCTCTACTGCATTGCAATAAGTGCAACGCAGTAATTGAACAGCAGTGACCATGAATAGAGCGTTAAAGGCATATCACATAGCCAAAGTGACATCATACGTTTTCTGCGAATGTACTCATTTGGTTGAAAAATGTTTTTAATACTTGGACATGTAATTAAATGCAGCAAACCAGGCTGTTAATAATACTTTACTGACCCTTTTTCTCATCATCATCAACAGCAGCAGCGGCGTTTACAGCTTTACTTTCAGGATTCAGTTTATACATGGCGTGATTGAGTACCGTTGCGAAGCTAAGCCAAGCGACGTATGGAATGAACAAAAGCCCAGCTACTTTATTCACTCTAAAGAAGAGAATGCCGCAAGCTGTAGATGTTGCAGTCAGCGCAATAATATCGATGAGACCCTTAAAAATGTTGTACGTTATTAATATTAATTAAAAAATATATTTTTATAAAATAGAATAAAGAGCGATTTACAGTAAACATCAACAGAAGCTGTGCTTCCAATAAAGATTTGACAACGCAGATATTTTACTTTGAATTGCACCCTTAAAACCACATCGTGGTGAAGTACACGAACGAACAAGGATTACAAATAATTTAAATTTAAATTTACGCCTATTTTTAGTCTTATTTACGACCCTCGACACAAGCGATTTATGTCTAATCTAGGGACCGCAAGGACCTTGGCCTACACTCTTATAAGATCAAGTTAACCCAAGAACAACTAAAGCCACTTGATGACATCATGCAATGTGTGTTATTTAAGAAAAGTTTGTCAAATCGTTATTGTATAATCCTTAGGGCCAATTTCACAGTGCGTAGTTAACTGTCGATTCGGAGTTAACTACGCATTGTGAAATTGGCCCTTATAGTATGTACATATAGCTCATTTACTAAAATACTGTCGCGACTTAAAAATACCATGACTGAGCTAATAATGGTGAAGAATGAAGCGTATATTTTGTGTAAAAATTGCATTCCGAAATCTTGTGCAGTTTTCGCCTGTGAATGTCGATTGAAAAAAGTTTAAACACGTCTCGGATCTTTTACTTGTGACGACGGTCTTTTAGCAATGAGCAATATGTTCGTTATCAATGCAAAAGGCTCAAAGTGACATTTTTTGGAAATAATTTGCATAATTTGCACTCAGATAACACTTCATAAAAAGAATTTAAGGCCACTATTAGACTTCAAACTTGCCAATGGGGATATTTTGCATTAGTGACGACGATATGCACTTACGAATATACACATTTGTGTAGATTCATATACATACATACATATGAATATAAAAAAATCACAGCTATTCAATGTTTAGTGTACCTCTGACATTTTACGAAATGCTTTGTTGCATAACTTACTCCTTTTATATTACGCAGTCCAAAGAAAATTGGTGTCCACGCCCAATTGAGTGCTAACTGCGTACCGTACGCAATGAGGGGCAATTGGGCCTCGCCGCTGAAACCACCGCCATCACGCCACACCAAGTAAGAGGCATAGCCCATGCCGGAGTACAGCGAAGTCCATACTGGACCAAAAATCCAATTTGGCGGACGGTATGATGGAAAATTTAGGTTTTTATACCATGTCTGTATGTTTTTGCGTGTTATAATGCCGTTCACGAAGCCACCTACATTTGGCAAAATGACAGCGCCAATAATTTTAAGCGCATCACTCATTTTTCTAAAAGTCTAAATTGCCCTCTTTCTGGTAATATGTAGATGTACTTTTTGTCGCGTGCCACTACAGCTGCTTCTCACTGCGAATTACCGAAATGAACTGAACTATCAGCTGTCAGTTACTTTACTCGGTAGGTTGCCTGCCTTGTGGTACCCCTATCACTACCGCGAATCTATTAACCATTTGTTGGTGGTGAGCTTTGCGCTCATTCTGAACTTAGTAGTTGGTAAACATTTACATTTTTATGTATGCATGTACATATGTATGTATATATGTATGTTGTTGATATATGCACATGGAGCTAATGGGTACATGTAGAAATACTATGTATGTATGTGCGGAGCGCCATATTTTTCTATCATCTATTGCCTCTTCCATTAGCATTGCTAGCATTGTGCCGGCCGATACTTTTATTTTTATCGCTACTTATATTTGCTACGCCAAAAAAATAAACATTTATGTGCATACTATGTAGCTGTTATTTTTGATTTCGAGTGAGTAAAAAGTGGCTAAGTCCACTTTTTATTCAAAATTAAAAATGCGCCGTTTCCAAAAAAAAAAAATATAGCACTAGCTGGTTCTATGCTGAGATATTTAGCGTGCGGGCTCTTATTTTCTCACCTAATAGTCGGAGAATAACAACATTTGTTTTAACGGTAACGCCGAATTCCCACTAGGCATTTAAATTACAAAAAATGTCATGTAGAAACAGACAAAATTACTATTTTTATGAACGTAATGGCAGGCGTATTTTTTAATGCACAATATTGTCATTATACGAGTTCCTTCACTGATACTCAGTAAATATTTTTTTTTTATTGCGGCCGCTGTGGAGGAAAAGCTCGGCCAAACACTTAGCAAAAGTGTAGCGGCCAAAATATTATTAGTATTATTAATCATAACGATCCAATTGGTTTCAGTGATAAATTTTTATTTTTGTAATTTCGAATTTAAATTACCCAAGCATATAAATACTTGAGTACGTATGCGCATAAATACATATATTATACAAACATAAATTACCGATTAATTACACTTGACAATTCTCCAAACTGACATCACCTAGGTAATTTTTTACGCCCAATTCTTAATTGCATTGCCTATCAACTGAAACATTTTTTGGTGTTTTTTTTTTCAAACTCTGACTTTAAAACGCGGTTAGTAATTAAAAATAAATTACATATGCATCATTCGGTTTATATGTAATTTGCATGTAAGTAGATGTTTTAGGTTAGTAAAATCATTTTCGAAGAATGTTTAAGAATGAGGAGGTTGAGGGGAAAATGTAATAAACAAACAAGAATGAACAAAGTGCAAATGCAATAGCAAGTAGTATCATAAGTTAAGGAATTAGAAAATTTATTATGCTTGAATCAGTGATGGGCACAATTTTTCGAAATACTAACTGCTAAATTAAACAAATATTTGAGATTTTGTTCTTTAAAAATACTAAATACATAAGTATGTGTGTTCATATGTAGTTAGTCACTTATGGTGTAATGAGTATTTAAGTATTTCGGATGTCGATAATTACGAAGGATTATATAAAATGTAATGTAATATTATTCATAAAAAAAATAAAATAAATTTAAAAACCTTTCTATGTACTCTCAAACAAATATTTGATTTATAAAGTATTTAAGGCTTTTTTTATCTTGCTAAATTCGGGTAAGTATTAAGGTTTAGCACAGAGTGTGGAAATGTCGCTAAAAAAAAATTTTAAAGTTTCGAAAAACCAGGGAAATCAAGAAGCATTTAAATTTATTATCAAAATCTAAAAAAAAATAAAAGTATCAATTATTGACAATTTTCGCTCCTTTACTGAATCGAGTAGCACAAGTATTTAGACATCTATAAAATACTTTAGTATTTAGAATCCTTCAAATACTTAGGTGTTTTGTATTTAGCATTTTCATTTGCCCAACCCCTAGTTAGTTTAGTTTTTTTTTTTTTTACTTTCTAGTGTTTTCTTTTGGCATTTAGGCATTTCTATATACTACACAAGTGTTGAGTATTTAGTATCCAAACAGGTACTCTATATAAAAATATTTTTAAAATGCCCATCACTGGTTTGTATCATTAGTATGTTTGCTTGTATGTACGTAAGTTAAACTGAAAAAGCTGAGGAAAGCTAATCTAAGTTGATGGAGGAGATTGATTAGAATTAGCAGTGTTTTCAGTTGCTGGAACTGCAGGTGGCGACAATATGGCTACTGTTGCGGCTCCTGGCTGTGCTGCTTCTGCTGATGAAGCAATAGTCGTGTCCTGCAGAAAAGCCTCTTGTTGCTTTACTCCAGCGTTCGCCTTAGTTTTGCTTATAGCCGGTGACGTGTTGCCCTTCTTAGACCCTCCGGATACTATCGAAGCATTACCACCACCTGGGCGCACAGCTTTACCAGCAACACCTTGTTGTTGCTTCAATTTTGCTGCTGCATCTACTTGATTTTGCGGCGAGTTTGTCTTTTTTGTTGTTCCTTCGATCTTTGTGTTCGGAGCTGTTGATTTCTGTGCCTGTACACCTTTTTTCGGTGATATTTTCGTGGGCGTGGTGGGTGTGGTGGGGGTAGTGGGGGCACTGGGAGTCGAAGCTGCGGATTTGCTAGACATTGGTTTTGTATTTCCTTTTGATGAATGTTGCTGTTGTGGTGGTTGCGGTTTTGTTGTCAGTTTTAGTTTAGCATCAGCTGGCGTAGACGCCTTCGGTGCTTCCTTAACCGGTGATGCCTTGGCCTGCTGTTTCGCTATTTCCTGTGGAGATTTAGTTTGTTTTGGGGGAGATACTTTTTGTTTGGGACTTCCTGCTATGGGCGTGGTAACTTTTTTATTTTCCGAGGTTATCAAAGCTTCTGGTGTTAGTAATTTTACTTCACTTGCTTGCGATTGGACGATCGATTTCGAGTTGTCTTTGGAAGCCGTCAAATCTGTTTTAGCATCCTTAACAACATCTGTATTCAATAACTCTGCAGGCGGAATATTTTTCATGTCATCAGGCAATGGTGATTTTTGGAGTACTGTAATTTTGTTGGGTGATATTTGAAAAGGTTCCTCCTGTACTACTTCGGCCATAGATAGCTGTTTGCTGAGTGGATCTGCTCGTAAAGGCGAGTATGCTTCTGTTTTTTCTTCAGCACTTAGCGCATCTTTGATGAGCATTGACGTTCCAGGTTGTGATTCTACAATTTCAACCAAAGTAGACTGTGTATCTAATTGTTCTTCAAGCGTTTTTTGTAGTGTTGGCGGAAATGGTTCTTCTGTTAGTTCCTTCGCAGGAACACTTTTATCATTATTTTCTTTTACCACTTCTCGAGCTGCGCCGGCATTCGATGAACTTGTCGGTAGTTCACTGCTCAAAAGTGTTGCCGATTTTTCTTTGATAGGTAGCTTCTCCACTGCATCAGTAAGACTAGCAACAATTGTAGGTTTAATTTCCTCTTGAAGTTTCTCAACGGGTTCTACAGCCTGGGTTACAGTCGTATTAAGAGTTGTAGGCGGGAATTGCGCAGTAGAATTGCTTGCCTGTCCCGCTGCACATTCTTTCGCTGGTATTAATTCCAGCTTAACTTTGGAGGCTGAATCCTCCTCATTGACTTCTTTTATACCTTCAACTGCAAGTTCTTTTGTTATTTCATTTACTATTCCTAACAATTTTTCTGTAGATTCTAATGATTGTAGAGCAACAGTTTTAATGGATACATCTACAATAGGAGTTTCACTTTCCGTTGGTTTTTCAGGGGCCACGGCTGCAAGATTATCTTTATTTTTACTCGCATCGGATTGGCGCTCGGACTTCTGTTCCTTTGGTATATCTTGCTTTTTTTCTTTTGGCGCTGTTCGCGTCTGTTGTTTTGGTTCGTTGTCCTTAGCTGCGGCCACCGGCTTTGATGCCGCAGATTTCTTCTCTTGTTGTGCGCCTTTCACCAGAGTCTCAGTCTTCCTTTGAATGACTGTAGTTTCAGTACTCGCTTCTTTTGGTCCTTTCTTCTGCTCCATCGATTCTTCATCGGACGCTTTCTCTTGTTGCTTGGCAGCCGGTGGCTTTGAAACTTGTTGTTGCTTTTCAGTTTCGCCCTGTTCACGCTGTTCGTTGTCACTTTTGGCTTGAAGATCTTGATTTTGCTCTTTCTTCTGTCCTGATTTATTTTTTTGTTTTATTTGCTGGTTATTCTTTTGCTGCTGCTGGGTCGGTTTAGGACCTGGTGTTTGTGTCTTTTGAGTGTCCTGTTTATTTGATAGTTTCTTCTGCTCGCCAACTTGTCCTTGCACAGCTGGTTTTGTTTGTTGGCCTTGTGGCTGTTGCAATTTGTTTTGGTTTTCTTTTATATCCACATTTTCCTGTGGATTAGATGCTTGCTTTTGCTCAGATTGTTGCTGCTGCTTTTCTTTCTTCTGCTGCTTTTCGGAAGTTTGCTCCGTTTTCAGCTGCTTTTGCTGGAGTGGCTTTTGTTGCTCCTTTGGGATTTTCTCAGATTCAACATCAACTTCAACGTTTTTCTGAACTGTTTTGGGTCCTTCTTTTATTATTTTAAGGGTCTCACTCCCCACTTGTTTTGAAATATTGGTGTTCACGGCAGATTCTTCAGATTTTTTATTGTCTTTTAAATTCTTTTGGGGTTTCGGTTCATTTTTAGCCTTTTGTTTTGAGGACTCGTGCTTTTGTTGATTTTCATTTTTCTTTTGAGGCTCACTTAACTTTTTTGCATCCTTTGCAGGCTTCTCTTTTTCAGTTTTATTAATATTTTCCTGGTTCGAAATTATCTGCTGTTTTCGGCATTCCGCTTCGTCGTTTGCTGACTTTAACTCTAGATTATTTTGTTCAGACTCTTCATTTAATTTTATATTTAAATTTAAATTTTGCAATGATTTTAGTTCGTTTACTTTCGTTGCGGTATTTATTGCTTGCGTGTTGCTTCCTTCCTCCGAAAATGTTGGCAATACTTTAGCCGTTTCTTCCTTGATTTCGGTGTTATTTTTCTCTTTATCAGATTCACTTGCCGGTTGCTCACTGTTTGTTGTTGTTGTTGTTGTTGCTACTGCTGTCGTTTTTGCAGCCTCCAATTTGGCAACCTCATCGAAATCGCTCACCAACATCGGCACATCGTCTTCCTCTTCAACACTATAGAGCATATTTGTGCCAACACTCGCATCCCCACCGCCTGCCGTACCACCACTTGCTTTCTTCGTACCCGCCATTGAATTAGCGAACATGCGCAGCTGCACTACGGTCTCTTGACCCAACTGTGGCAAAATCTCTGGAAGCATTTCCACAATTTTCTTTGTCTCTCCATGGCCGGTAACAGCAAAAGTATTCGCAGAAAGAGATGCCTGCGCCTTTGGATTATTGAAATGTATTACGGTTAGATCGTCTTTGATTATGTTCACTTCCTCAATTCCCGGTATAGTGCTAACGGACAGTTTCTTTAGAGAACTCTGCAACTTTTTATCATCCGTTGTAGCTGTCTGATGCATAACCTTTTTTTTACGACGTGCCGTCCCCTTGCCGCCTATGCGCACCTGCGTTTGCAGGCGCTTTAATTTCTCAACATTCATATTCCAACGCTTAAAATTACACCTTGGTCAACTAAGTTCCTGTGGTATTTCGAAGTTAACTGAAAATCATAAAACGTTTTTAGGAATTACATAAAAACTGAAAATAGTTCAATGGTTCTTACCAAAAATGTTTCCCTGCCACTGAAGAACTTGCGGCTGCAACGATGTCTGTGCTATCGACGACTATTTAGTAATACTCAAGGCCCAAGCATGCAAATGGTCGGATATTTTGACTTTCGCATACCGTCGCACACAATGCAACATGGCAGCCGAGCAATACAGCAACAGCAATAGTAACCGCATCAGAGTAGCAGGTATATTAATATCGCAAATTTCTTTGCGAATAGTGAAAAAAAGATATATATATAACACGAAAATGCCTCGCATCCAATGGCGCAAGCATACATATGTACATACATACATATGTACATACACTGGTAGGAAAAATAATAGAGACGAGACATTTTGACCAGTTTTGGCAATTTTTGTTTTGTCTATTTAATTTTTTTTTTCACCCTAACACTTTTTTCGAAACTGTGATTTTCACAGATTTCGGCAGGATCTATTAAAATATACCTTCACTAAAAATTTTCAAGTGTTAGTACCAAAATTTTTTGCTTGTACAAAAATTTGGATTATTCAATTATCTTGCACGAAAATTTCACTTTTTTTTCAGAAAAATCAACTTTCAAGTGCCTAAAAACTACCCTTGATTTTTTATATGTATATATTTTCTTCCATACAGATAAAAGAAATTTCGAATATATGTATGTACATGCCTAAGTATATACTTACATACATATGTACATATGTACTTTATCGTACTAAAATTTAATGCACTAAAAAACTACATACCTAAAAATTCTGAATAAAAAGCTTAAAATTTTGATGAAAATTTGTCGAATTTTTATCATTTTTTACAAAGTTTGAAATATGCATTTATATGGTATTTGTTACATAATGAGCTAGGCTTTTATAAAACAAAAAAAAATAATAAACATTAAATAAAGAACAAAATAGCCCAAACTGGTCAAAATGTCACGATTCTATTATTTTTTCCACCAGTATATATACATACGTATTTTCGCCCGTTTAAAAATAAAAATATACCGACAAGGAACGGAGAGCATCAGCGATTCTTAGGGACAGACACAGCATTGCATGTTGCGTTTCGTGAAGTCTACAGTCATGCCTTCAGTCGGCATGAGCAACCGGCCAAAGTGCATTACAACGAGGCATAGATAGGATGAAAATGTAAAATAAAATACATTCTAGAGGTGTTTATGGAGATATTTTCAATATGAGTGTAGAAGTGAAATTGGTGATAAACGTATTTCCAAATTTCTGCAGATAATATATGTACATATGTAGATAGATACTTACTTGCATATGTGTGTACGTACGTACATACAGATGTGGTCAGAGATTTAGCACCAAAATTCCAAATGATGTTTATGTATTTATTTTAATAATTTTCATTTCATTGTTTTTAGTGAAGGTAATAGTAAACAAGTAAAAAAGTCTTAAGTTCGGGCAGAGTCGAACATTAAATACCCGGCGCAAGTATTCAATATAGTTTTTGCACCTTTGCGAAAACTACCGCTACGTGGTAAGCAGTGGTGGTTTTACGTCTATTTCAAACATTTTCGATAGAACGTTCACCTTTGCGTTCTTGATGACTTTAACTTAGGAAATATTTCTTGGTCTAACCTAAGTAATCTTAGTAACTCCTTCGTGCTTACTCCAGTTAATGTTGTAAATGAATGTGAACTCTATGTAACTGATAGTCTTTTAAGTATTGGCTTATATCAAATTAATTGCTTTCGTAATAAGGTAAATCGTATTTCAGATCGAATCTTTTTAAGCGACAATGTGAACAATAAGTTGCCTCACTCCGATGTCTTCGCCAACTATCCATCATAGTCGGTCATTAATATGTTTGGAGTTATATGCATTCTTAACAGTTCCTCTTGGAAGTAGCCGGCCAATCCTCTATTATGACTTATTTGATTTTGAACACTTACATTCACTTTTGCTAAGTTATGATTGGGATCATATTTTTTCTAACAAAATCACTGAAAACGCGTTTAAAATTTTCAAATCATCGATTTAAGAGCTCTGCCTTAGTATAATTCCAGCCGTACATAGTCAAGTTACCCTCTCAAAAACAAGTTCCATTAAAAATTCAAGGTTACTGGGTTAACTTTTTACTTCGATCGATATCAATTTCATAACAAGCGATTTACTAACCTTCATAAGTTAATTTTCAAGCGGTATACCAGTAACTATGAAACCAATATTAAAAACAATACAAAAGGCTTTTGGAGGTACATCAAATCATTGAACTCTACTTAAACTATACCCTCTACAGCTTTGATATATTCGACTTCTGCCAACCAACACGGCTTTGTAATGCGACAGTCTCGAATCTTGCAGTCTTCACTGAGGATTGTCTCGCTGCTTTCCATGAGGGTTTCCAAGTCGATACCATATACACCGACTTTTCGAAAGCATTCGACAGAGTTTCACAAAAGGTCCTAACTTTCAAGTTGTCGTGTATATGTTTCCACCGAACATTTCTTAAGTGGATAGGCCGTATCAGTCCGGTCATATAAGCCGCGTAGAGAGAGTTCAAAAAACGTTTATCAATTTCGATCTCCGTTCGCTGAACTTCAGGGACCCTATACCCAGTGTTGCCAGGTCATTGAAGTGAGAAATCGTCAGTTAAGGTCTCAAAAATCGTCATTTGTATGCAAAAATTGTCGTCGTTTTAACCAGGAAGCTTTTTTGGTTTTTTACCGACTTAAAAAAGGAGAAGGTTATCAATTCGTTGGAATATTTTGTTTATGTATGTTACCGCATAACTTTGGACCAAGTCAACCAATTTCGATAATTTCTAGCAGAAAGGTAGTGCCTCAGAGGTGGTACCATACTAATTTAGTTTAGATCCGATCATTGGATCTTGAAGAAACTAATCCTACATTTTTATATGAGAATGGAAGTCGGTTGTGTTTTTTGTTTAAATATTACTTGTTTTTCATTTTATTATAGCTTCTAATTGCTACACGTAGAAAAAAAGTTTTACTTTTTTACGAACTTTTAAAATTCGCAGTGCTTTTAACAAAAATATTTTTAACTGCTATAAAATCACATTTTCATCTTAATTTTAACTTAACGATGTGCATTAAAACTGTTCATACTTACAAGTTTTGCTAAAGAACTTATCCATAATTCACTTCGCTCAATACAATATGTATCAGTAATCAACGTCACAACGCAAAAATTACGAATTTGACCGCCAAAAACTACACAAATAGTGATGAAACAAAGAATACTATTAGTGCTGCCACATGATATAATTTCGAAACGACAATTATGTATTAGCAGAAATGGTAAACACTCAATAGGTGTTTATACTGCAATTTTTAGTTGGCTGTGTAACCATCTTCAAAGTTGAGAACCAGCCAAATTTGCACATAAAGAAAAATCGTCATTGGGTCACAAAAATCGTCAAACCGTCATGGCTGTAAAAAATCTTCAAAATGACTACCAAATCGTCAACCTGGCAACACTGCCTATACCCTTATACGAGGCACGTTGCCAGCTTCTGCATCTAAAATCTCTACATAGTCGAAGTGCTTATCTTTGCGGTAACTTTCTCGTGAATGTTATGCTATGTTAATGTTTTTTTTCTCTTCAAGAACATGAATCAATCGGAATTAACTTTACAATTGCTGCAACTAGTAAACATTTAAGCTGTTTTGTTATAGTCAGTAAGGACTGTTATACATTTGACTGAATTTAATTAAATAAATAAATAAATAACTAAATATTTTAAACTAACAACCCTTTTTACTTTTTCATTAACATTAACCTTAAAATTAACATTAACACTGACATTAACCTTAACATTAAAGTTAATCTTAGCAATAACATTAACATTAACATTAGGCCTTTGGTTTTTTACTAGTTGTGTTTAGACTAATGGCGACCAACCGTACTTCTTTCGGAAGTACAGTACATACTTCTTGTTTAGCTCTTGTACATACTTCGTACTTCGCAGCACAGTCAAATGCATTTCTTTGGCATATTTTGTACTTCAGATCCTGTACTAGTTGGATCTTCTAGACGATCGTCACATGGCCTGGGCGATGGCATCGTACCTGCGCAGCTGCTCTGGAGGAGTCGTGCAACATGTTTATTGCAAGGAAAGGTCGGTGGATACCGCCCTGCACACATGGGTAAAGTCGTTAGGGGAAGCCTTCACTCATAAAGATCATGCAGTAGCGGCCTTCCTCGATATCAAGGGTGCCTTCAACAATGTTACTCCAGAGGCTATAGTCAATCCATTCATAATCTGGGGGTTAAAACCAACCTAATAAAACTTTTCTTCAGCAAACTTAGTAACAGAACTGACGCCGCGGTGGGGGAGCGCCAGCACTCAGCCCAGACTTAATTAGGGCACTCCGTAAGGTGGTGTTCTTTTTCACAAGACCGAACTGGTCTTGTTTAGCAGGACGTAAGAGATAACCGTTGTGGCCCTACCCTCGATTGGGGGTATTCGTCTGCGGCTCTCAGAGGGGGTCAAGTACTCTTAAGCTTGATTGCTATCGGTAAAAGGTGAGGTCTCTCGCCCACAGTAATTCATTAGCTCTATGAAACCAGATTTAAGCCTTCATGTTTCACGGAGCCCTTGTCTGGTGGAACTCACTAGAGGACGCTACGCTTGTAATACAACTGGAGCGTTTTCAGCGGATCGTCCTAATCGGAATTAGTGGAGCATTGGGAACCACACCTATACTGGCACTAAACGCCATGTTGAAAAACGAATTTTCGCAGCACGAAATCCTATTAGGCTCAGGGAAACCGTGTGGTAACACTCTGGAGTTCTGAAGAGCTGCGACTTCGCCCTGAACACATAGATTACAGCGCCTCTGAAATGGCTCCCAGAAGCTCCTTCTGTACCTATATTACCTCAAGTTTTGAACTCGAAACAATTCGGTTTTACCAAAAATAGGGGAACAAAAGATGCACTAAGTATTATTACGAATAAACTTATTTATGAAAACTTAGATAAAAGCGCTCCAATAGTTGTAACTTTTTTAGATTTAGCTAAAGCGTTTGACGCAGTTAACAACGAAATCCTACTAGATAAATTATATGTTTATGGAATAAGAGGCAAGGCCAATGACTTACTAAAAATTATCTTAATAACAGAAATCAACAGGTTAAAATTGGGCAGTACAGTAGTGATTTCAGTAATATAAACACTGGTGTTCCGCAAGGTACAATTTCAGGCCCTCTACTTTTTATAATATACATATGTATGTATGTCAATGATATGATTGAATGTTTGCCGGAAAACATAGTATCAAATGCGGATGACACCGCAATAGTTTCTATAGGCAAGAACTGGAAAGAAGTAGAGATTAAAATGAATACATATTTAGAAGAAGTATCGCTATGGCTTCCATTGGGCCATATGAATAAAAACTAAGCAATTGCTTTTTCTTAAAATTTCATACCTTTTACTTCAATTTTGTTTGAATAAATTGAGTGAAAGATCTGAAATTTTAAGAAAAAGCAATTGCTTATTTTTATTCATACGGCCCATTAAATAAATTAACACTGAATGTAAGCAAAACAGTGTACATCGCTTTTGGTAACTACTGCTATAGCGTTCCTAATGAACTTATTATAACATTAAATGGAATGGAATGGATTGTAATCTG